GAGAGAGGCCAGCTCAGCCCACCAGGGGGCGGGCTGGCTGGCATGTGGTGCTGGGGGATTGAACCGCGGTCCCTGATGCTTTTGCTAAGCTTGTTCCAAGTAGGTGCTGTAGACCACTGAGCCATCTCTCCAGCCCTATGCTATTGTTCTTACTACCTTCTGAAACAGTTCTGGAAGTCTTCTTTGATTTGTATCTTTCTTTTTTTTTTTTTCTTGGCAGAATCAGGGATTGAACTTAGGTCCTTGGGCTTTCCAGGCAAGTGCTTTATTCTACGGAGCCATCTCTCCAGTCCCTGATTTGTATCTTTCTGAGGTATGTATAATCAAAGTCTGGTGAGTGCTGCAGCTAAATGCTACCAAAATTAGGAGAATTAAAGAAAAATATATTTGCTAATTATATCCAGTGGTAGTGGGAAGCTAGAAATTAAAGATAATTCTCATTAGAAATTTGTAGCCTTAAGTATTAAATAAATGAGTTCAAGTGTCATGTTTATTAATTTTATTATTTTATCACATTTGATATACTCAGTCCATAGACAGGAAGGCACGTTGACTAGATGCAGTGCGACTGCTATTGCCATGGGGCCTCCTGCCCCAGTACCTGACTGGGAGCTGTTGCCTTGGCTGCTGATGGGTTTCACAGCTCTGGCATGCCCCCTGGGTCATCCATCTCGAAGGATAGCCTCATTTCTGAGTCTTCCTCCTGCCCCAACAGCTCTTCCTCTCCTGTGGGCTTCCTTTCTTGGGTTGGTGGCCCTCTGTCACTTGCTGTTGTTTGCAGGTACTCTGTGTCTGATACCGGCCACGGGGCCTGCAGTGTGCTTGGCTCTTGGAGTTCATAGCGTGCTAAGGAATCTCTCAGTGTTCCAGGAGTATCAGGCCTATCCTCCCATTTTGAAGGTGGAGGTCCGTCCTTATGCTCGTAACTATTCAGTCTTTTTTCAACCACGTCACGAATCAACACTGCGAAGTACAAAACTCATTATGAGTTTTCATGTTTGAGATAAGTTGTAGATTAGTACAAAACATTCCTTGGCCTCCTCCCTTCCCCACACTATAACCTTTTATAAAGTCATCACATTTAACTTCAGTAGCAATGCATTGAAAACAGATCATAGTCTTTGCTTGTTTGAACAGAATACCACTTATAAAGTAATTAAAGTAATGGCAGAAGATATTGATAAAACTATAGAAAATAAAAAAAATATTGAGAGGAAGAATTTATTTCTTTGTTAATTATACTGAAAGTTTAATTATTAAAACTGTAAAATTAACATCTTTCTTTAATTTATTCCTTCCACTGAAATGTTAGTGATGACTTTCAAAGAAAATAAAAGAACTTACTGTCAAGCACTGTTCTTCCTACCATGCTGTAGTCTATGGATTTTTCAACCTCATTCATTAGCCATGGGAGAAATCCTATCTCAATATCTGTAATAAAAAAAAAAATCACTGTCATTGTTCTCCTTTTTTCTGAGACAGGATTTCATTATGAGTTCAGACTGGTCTTGAACTCACAGGGGTCCTCTTGCTTCAGCCACCTGAGTGATGGGATTACAGGGTTGCTCCACCATGCCCTGCTAAGTTATTTTTATTAATCATTTTAAATCAGAAGAATGTGCTTTGCCCCTAATATTAACAAATTCATCTATATTGTTTTTTCCAATACAAAATGTTAAGTAGACTCACATAATATAAAGTTTGCCATAGTCTTTATGTTCTGGTCAAATTCTTTTTATTGCAATAAAATATTCTTAAAATTATGAGGCCTTCCTTGGAGTCAAGGATGTCAGAGTTGGCTTCATTGTACAATTTGAAACAGTCTGTACAGGCAGAAGGAGAATGTGGATCTGTTAGAATTCCAAGGCAATGTGACACAAATCTGAAATGGAGCATTCCAGGACAAAGAAGGCCGTCATCAGAGGAGCAGGGCCTAATGGAAACTAATGAGGTTTCAGGTTGCAGATGGGATGCAGGCCAAGGCTTGTGAGGAGGTGGTTTTCTAGAATAGGGTTAGAAATCAAGTGTTTTCATTAGCAAAAAGTTTGCTAACATTGGAAACAATTTATTGTGGAAGGATTTAAAAACATGGCCTATAATGGTATAACATTGTAAGTTTCAAAATAGCTTTTTTGGGGGGGAAAGCATCTAATTGATATTTTTTAATATGGTAATAAGGGAGAGTGTGATAGAGTATTATCTGTTACTATAAATATCTTAGTCTCAGGCATGATTTTCACTTGCAAAATTTTAAATGATCTATGATAGAAAAAACGCTACTGATCCTTGTGTCTAGCTGTAAGAGGCCTAACTAGACTCTAAGAAGATAGGGTAGAAGCACAGAAAGAACAGTAGGACTAACACTTCTGCTGACTATTTGGGAGCAAGGATTTAACTTTTTGGTGCTTCACTTTTTACTTCCAAAAAATGATTAAATCTGCCCTGTCTACTTCACAGGGATACTGGGAGGATCAAGTGATGCCACTTGTGAAAACACTGCATAAATTGGAAAAGTATGAAATAAATGTAAAGTAATAGCATTTATTTATTACCTTGTGTCTATGAATAGAGGTAATTCTATGTACAGAATTGAATATGTAAGCAGTGATGATTTACAGAAGTAACACCTGGCACAAAATATTATTAGCCAGTGAGGAAGAGCTTGGTTACCAAGTACTGGAGATGTACGTGCTTTCTAGACTAAGGATGGTGGCAGAGCGAACAGGTCACCTCTTTCCCTTCACTTGGATGGATTGGCTGCGGGGAGGCGACCAGGTTGTGGGCTCCATCAAGGCAGAGACCAGGATGCCTACCGTAGTGCCTGGGACGGTGTCAGTCCCTAACTAAATGGATCAATGATCTCAGCGTCTGCCCTCAAAGGGTTTTAGATTGGAACAGAAAATCAGTTCGGAGGAAAAGTTACAGCAACTATTACACATGCACTGTGCTTTCTACACACAGAGCACTTTGTTTATAAAGAGTTTCATATACTTGAAGATTTCATTTCACACATGAAGAAACTGGAGGTCATCAAGCTATGTAATGCTGAGGATAGGATCAAGCCTTCCTGACATAATGCCCATGTTTCTTTCTACTATCCAATCTTGCATGTCTCAATAAAGAAATCTTTACAATATGCTACTTTAGAAATTTTCAATTTTAGTTTTTTAATGACATATATTTATAGGATACTGTAATAAACCTCTTTTAGTAATAGTAAATATAATTAACTTTCATTTCAGAAACGAGTCTAATAAAGATGGACGTGAAAGAAACTTGAACCATCAGGAAGATGCTTATTACTTTTTTTTTTTTTAATTTTTATTTGTGTGTGTGTGTGTGTGTGTGTGTGTGTGTGTGTGTGTGTGGCCAGCTCAGCCCACCAGGGGGCGGGGCTGGCTGGCATGTGGTGCTGGGGGATTGAACCGCGGTCCCTTTGCTTTGCTAAGCTTGTTCTAAGTAGGTGCTTTAGACCACTGAGCCATCTCACCAGTCCCCAGGAAGATGCTTATTACAACTGAGTAAATCTAACAAAATCTCCACCAACCTCTTTTAATGGGATCGTAAAAGTAGCCGCTATCCCTGAGGCTGCTAAACACGGACGGGAGCAGGTCGGCCAAGTAGCGCTGCGCAAACGCACAGGCCGCCACCTTCTGCGCCGTCTCGTTTTGCTTGTGTATTATGTCCCACTGCTGCTGCTTGCGACGCTCCTGCAAGAGGAAAACGTGATCACTGATGGGCACTCAGGTAGCATGCTCGCCTCAGATACTGACTCTAGTGAAGTCCACAGTCAAAATATTTGGACTTATCAAAGCAAATGGACAGCAAGGTGTCTATTAAGGATCTGATTTTTTGTGAAGAACTCGATGACTTACAATGACTGGGTACTACGGCTGGCCGAATAGCTCAGTGGGTTAAAGTGCCTGCAAGCAGGCACAGGGTCTGGGGATTCGATCCCCAGGCCTGCTGGTGGTGTCACGCGCCTGTAATCCCAGCTCTTGGGAGGATGTAAACAGGCAGATCACTATGAGTTCGATCTCATAGTGAGATCCTGTACACCCTGTAGGCCCTTCCCTAAAATACAAAACAAACAAACAAACAAAACAACATAACAAAATCAGTTACTGGGTACTGAATTCATAAAGATAAAAGATGGAGCATGAGCTGGGGATTAGAGTGTCTATCTAGCACCTATGAGGTCCTGGGTTGGATTGCAGCCCTGCAAAAGAAACAAAACAAAGCAAAATAGTGGTGTTTAATTAATCAATTAATTTTACTTTTTGGTACCAGGGATTGAACTCAGGACCCTGTGACTGCTGGGCAGGCGCTTATGCCACTGAGCTAAATCCCTGGTCTAACGGCATTTAAATTAAAACTCATTTCTGACCCATTTTCATGGAAAGTAACTTCAAAATATATACACTTGGTTGTTTGAGTACTATCAAAAGTATAATGATATGCGTATTTTTTATTACTATTACCATAAAATAATACTGATATGAAAATTATAATTGCTTTGATAACAAAGAATTTAAGACAATAAACTAATTCAGTTACACACAGCTTTTTGGGTGTGTGTGCAGGGTCTCACTCTGCAGACTGGACTCGTAGTGATCCTCCTATTTTCAGCCTCCCTAGTGCTGGGATTACAGGAGTGCACCACCACTCCCAGACTCCACTGTCAGCTCAGCGTGCCCAGGGGGTGGGGCTGGCGCAGCATGCAGTGCCAGGGATCAAACCCCGGCTCCTGAACTTGTCTAAGCAAGCACTTAGTCAGCTGAGCTATCTCGCTGGCCCTTACATATTTTATGAATTTCTGAATTCATAAAACTGAAATAATTCTGAACATCATGAAAGCTTATCTTTTGTTGCTGGTTCCTTTTGATAAACTAAAACTAATGAACAATCTTCTTTACTCCCACATAGAAACAAGCATTAATATTTTAAAAATTATATCTATTTTCAAAGTTTAAAACAAATGTAAATCTGGGACATTTATATTCTTCTTTTTTTCCCAGTGGTAAAGAAACTTTTTTTTTTTTTTTAATAAATATTTCACTGATTTCATCAATAAAGCTTTTTTGGTAAGTGTTTGTTTTATATTTGTAAGCAAAGTCTTAGATTTGTACAGTCCTTACCATAAGCCCAATGCTCTTTGCAAAATTATTCATTTTGTATATGTGCTGCCAAAGCGAGCGCAAACATTATTCATTTTGGAATAAAACTTAAAGTTCAGTTGATTAAGTATTAAGTCGAGTTTCTCAACAAACCAGGTATTCTTCATAGTAAGACTGGCCTTTGGGAGATGATCTTAATTGGTTTTCAGACATGCAGGTGCTGCTTCCTAATTGATTCATTTGGTGTACAACAGAAGACAACAATCATTGTTAGAATCAGAAAGCCACAAAGATGATTGAGTCCGGAGCTCCCTACCTGCAAGTTATTGATATATTTAAAAAACCTGAGTTTTAATTTTTTTTTAGGGGGTGGAACCGGAGATTGAACTCAGGCCCTTGCGCTTGCCAGGCAAGCACTTATTCTACTGAGCCATCTCCCTGGCCCCAAAATTTTTGTTATACTGAAGGTTTGTAAAACCTATACTCTGGAAAATACTGGCAAGGACTCAAGTAGCTCTGGAGTTCTTCCAAGGGTACAGAGAAAGGTCTGACCACTAAAAAGCAGACAGAGTTCCATCTTAGTCCTTGGATTTGTAATCTTCAGAAAATCCCCACACACCTTACTTTTTCCTTCCTTTCATCTTTCTGCCAGTGAATTGTGACACATCAATATAATTCTTTCTCTATGATGCCCCATATTTAATTGTATCTTCCAGTTAGGACATAGAAATTTTAGGAACTCAATTTAGATATATTTTATGTAAGCTGAAATTTAAAAAAAATGTCAAGTCAATCCATGAAAGATCTATAATCTAAATGAGAGAACTGAGCAGCAAATATTAAAGATTTTTTTTAACAGATTTTCAAAGATCTTCAGTTTTATGACCTAGCATACGTAACTTTGAACATAGTATATGTAAAGTATCCAAAAGACTAAGAGGCAAAGGATATGGCTTAGTGACACAGGATGTAACTAGCATGTGGGAGTCACTGCGGTTCAGTCCCAAGAAGAAGAACAAGAACAAGAACAACAACAACAACAGTACACAACTAAGAAAAATAAAATTCATAGCATCAGTACTTTTTCCTCCTGGTGTCGTCTCTTTTGCTCCTCCAGTCGCTGGACTTCAGCCAACTCAACATTGCGCATTTCCTCGTAGGCATACTGGCTGGCCTGCAGGCTGGCCAGCTCTTCTTCTTCCATCACCTCTAGTAGCGACTGCTCAATCGTCTTGCCCACCAAAACTTCTAACATTGGCTTAACTTCAAGATCAAAATCAAAGAGCTAAACACACAAGAGGAGACAGCAATGTAATCATGAACTAAGTGCAAATAAATTATAAAGAATACAAAGAACATTGGTTTTTTTAAAGGATTTTTGAACTTTTATTTATAAATTAATTCTGTAAACTACTAAATATAATAACAAAGAATTCCTGGCTTCTATCCTATATAGCTAGAAAAATAAATTATTTTTAATAGTTATCTAAATCTGCTCCTTGCTTCCAGAGAAATGAATGTATGACATATACATACTTTCAAACTGTCTTTAACATTTATAGACTTACAATACTGTATTTTTATACAGAATTGGGAACAGTCTATTAAGAAGCTAATTTCTAAACTTTCTACTTGTAAGAACTGAATTTCATATAATACATGTATTTTATAAATCCTGTAATTCAGATCATTTAAGTAATAATCCATAATTAGGTATGAGCACACATGAAAAGGAATTTTTCTATGGTCAAAACAAGATAAAAATATAGAGAACATTGTAATTCCAGTTAACTGAGAAGGCTGAGGCAAAAGGATTACAAATTCGTTGTTAGTTTGGGGAATTCAAAATAAAAAATAAAAAGGTAATACAGGTGGGGATGTGGCTCAGTTCAAGGCTCTGAGTTCAGTTGCTGGTATTACAAAAGAGAAAAAAAGGAAGACAGTAGGAGAAAGCAGAGGAGGAAGTGGGGGAAGAATGAGTAGGAAGAAGGGAAGAGGGTAGGAAGGGGGAAGGTGAAGGGTAAGAAAGGGGGAGTGGAAGAGCAATAATAGAGTATTACAAGATTGCTGTCTATGCGTCAAACACTGTGCTAGTATATTAAGTGTGGTTTCTAATCCTTAACCCTGCAAAGTACAAAAGCAGCATTTTATTTATAGATAAAAATCTATTAAGCCAAGTTATGGGGGGAAAAGCCTATATATTCATCAATATGAACTTTTTTTTTTAATAAATGAATCTAGTACAGGGTCTACAGGGTGTACAGGGTCTCACTATGTAGATTAGATTTGTAGTGATGCTTTTGTTTTCAGCCGCTGGGATTCCAGGCACGCCACCACCCCGAGTCTCAGTCTCTGCCTCAGTGCTCCCACGGGCGGTGCCGGCTGGCGTGGCGCAGCAGGGATCAAACCCCAGCGCCCGGCGCAGGCACCCACGCGTCTGCCTAAACAGGCGCTTTGATCCACTGGGCTATTTGGCCGGCCCTTATTCCCAAATTTAAATTAAATTCTTCTAGGTTCCTTCATATTTTAAATCTCACTTAGCTCGTTATGTATACAATCAATGCCTTCTTTAATTTAATAAATTTAATGCATTCCACATTGATAGGAAAATGTAATTAAGATTTTAAAAACAGATAGTATCTTCAATAAAAATTATGTAACTCATAAGCAACCAAGACTAGAGTCTCTTATGCCAGAGATATTATCCTCTCTCATACTGTACAAACCTATGTTATGAATATATATATATATATATATTAAACAAATATATAGAATATAGAAAGATTCTAAAACTATGTCTAATAATTTATTTTTGGTAAGCAAAGAGTAAATAGCAAAACAAGTTATTTAAAATTTTTTTAGGTACTACAGAATAAAATTATTACAATAACATTTGGAAAGAACCTCGAAAACTAAAATCTTTCTTATTGTGAAGTAGTTCTTGCCTCTGTTAATCTTTTCCTAAGCCCAATTTTACCTCCCTTATAACGACAGAGGGAAGTGAAGAGGTGCTCTTACCTCTCCTTCTAGTATTTCAGTGGCCACATCTTTGTTAGCTTTGGCAGGAATAAAAAGTGGTGTTGGTGGTCTGTCGAGAAATGCATCTGTTTGGCATTCCATATCAACTTCTATTATGCGGTCAGCAATTTCTTCAAGATATAAGTCTAAGAATAATGACATAGACACTGTGTTTGACATTTTGGTCTACCTCAAATATACTTGTATTTGAAGTTTCAGCTCCTTCTAAGCAGAATTGAGTGAATCAGAAGATAAGTCCATTAGGGGCCAGCCAGATAGCTCAGTGGATGAAAGCACTTGTTTAGGCAGATGCAGGGACCGGGCTTTGATCCTGGGCTTGCTGTGCTGGCCCTGCCCCCAAGATACGCTGAGACAGTGATTGAGACTAGGCGTAGCGGCATGCTCCTGTAATCCTAGTGCTTGGGAGGCTGAAAACTTGAGCATCACTACAAGTCTAATCTGTGTAGTGAGACCCTGTAGACCCTATACTAAATACATAAAAAAAGAGGATAAGTCCACTCTCAGTGCTTGAATATAGGGTTCAGTTCATATACTGAGTGAAGAAGTAAGACATTTGGAAGATCATGATCAGGCAGGCTAGAAAATTTACTAAATGTCTAGAAATTACTGAGTTTTGCATTAGAAAACTGAACAATAACAGGATGATGAGAGGGCAACCGGCTCTGACATCTGTCACCCCACTGATCACCAGGATTCATTTGGCTGATCTGACTGGCTAGCAAGGTGTCCCCTTCCTCCCTCACCTCTCCGGGTGTGTCTCTGCTGAAGCTGTGAAGCAGCAAGCTCTGAGAGGAGGATAACCACCCTGATGGAGGAGGACCCGTTCCTCAGTCAAGGGCATATAGTAGATGCATCCCCCTGCTAGAACCTCAAATAAGTTCTCAAAGAAGAACATGAGACCCTTGGCGTACATAGAAGATGCAAAGTGTAATAGAGAACAACAAATTAATGATAGACATAGGTAGTTGAGTCATAAGAGAGTAAACCTATACATATATGAAAACACCCTCAGATTATTGAAAAAATTCAATCAGCATATCACAATATTATTCTACTGATTATAAACAGCTATATGAAAACAAATTTTCTGTTAGCAATGACTTAGGGGAAGCAGTGGTGATGTGGTGTTGTGTGATACACAGGAGTGCTGGAGTTAGATGTCAAACACAGGACTAACCAAAGATCCATCCACTTTGTGCCTGAGTCTCTCCATGTATAAAAGGGATTACAAGTAATACCTGTGGCATGGAGTCTTTGCTAGAATAGAGAAGATGGAGAAGCAAAGGACCTAGTATAATTTCTGAGGAAATGCCCAAGCAAAAAGTGGCTATTGTATCACTTAATATTTTCATAGTATAAACCAAAGAATGATTTTCTTCTTTTTACTACACAAATAACTCTGGTGAACCTGCTCATGATCTTGGCAGTGTACAAGATGAATCTTAAAAAGTCACATTCATCAAAGGGAAATGCCAAGTACTGTCAGATGACCAAGAATTCTGTCAACAACACAGCCAGATCCTGTAGGTCCAGGTAAGTCTCAACAACAGAGAACAGAGAGAGAAACAGAAAGCCCTGGCACCTGCCTTAGAAGCTGCCATGTGGCCTGGAGCCCACACAAAGTGAAGAGAACAAAAAAGGATGGTGTGATAGGCAGATGACTCAGTGCGCTTACTCCTTTCAAAGTCAAAATGCAACAACAAAGATACACTGCTTTCCTCTCCTGTAAGTCTTAATAAAAACAAGATTGATTTGAGTATATAGAGAAAAATAGATCAGGGCAACCTACTTTTCAGGCCCCTTTCTGTTTCTCTTAGACAGAAGCTTTTCTTTGTTTTAATAATTTCTTCCTAGCTTTAAAAAGAAAAAGAACAACAACAACAAAAAAGCACCAACCTTTTACATTGTTGATGAGACTCTGACCTGGTTGTTATGGCTTGTGTCTAGTTGTCCTCCCAAAGTCTTACACAGTCATGGGGCAGATTCTAGAGTTTGTGATTAATTCATGATCCAATGCTGAGATTATGGGTGCGAGTGCTGCACCCACCCTGGGGTGAACCTCCTGAATACAATATAAGGAAGAGAGAGAGGCTTGCCTGCTGCCACAGCTGTTGTTCCACCCTTTGCTCTCTGCTGTTTTCCACTCCATGAACAGCTGCCATCTTCCATACGCCGCTCTGCCTGGGAGCCAGCTGAGTATGGCCTGAAAGCTCCACTAACTGAGCTAAATAAACCTTTCCTTCCTTAATTCTGGGTATCAGGTGTTTGGTCCCAGAAATGAGGAAAAAGTAACCAAGACATTGGTACAACACTATGGAAATCAGTATGGGGATTCCTCAGAAAAATTAAGACTATAAATTTCATTTGACTTAGTTATTCTCTCTCTCTTTTTTTTTTTTTTTTTTTTTTTGGTGGAACCGGGGATTGAACTCAGGTCCTTGAGCTTGCCAGGGAAGCGCTTATTCCACTGAGCCATCTCTCTAGCCCCAGTTATTCTCCTCTTATATGATAAACCTAAAGCATAAATAATCAAAAAAGATTAAAAAAATAGGAAACAAGGAGATAGATTTTTGCAAATGGGAAAAGAATCTAGTGATGATAGGAGATGGGGGGAGAAGAAGGGGAATAAAAAGAATTGTGGCACCTTAATACATGGACCTAGTCCCTAAGATGATGGTCAACTTACATACGTGTGGTAATAAAAATTAAAGAAAAGAACACTGATTCATTCTAGGCTGTAGCAAACAATCTTGGTTTGAAATAGTATACGTGAGAAGGATAAAAAAATAAAGACTTAATTTGGTCATAAAACTCTTATTTTAACCCGATCCCATACTTCTAGCTATATCTAATATAATTAATAATAATAATAATAATAATAATAATAATAATACACAGCTTGTGTCTCTGTTGAAGGAATAGACTTTCCTGTTGCAAGATTGGGAAGGATCAGAGAGCACCACAGATACATAAGTAAAGAAAGCCTTATGGAAAATGACCAGACACAAACAGCGAAGTAACTCAAGGAGGCGCACTACCAACCACGGTGTCATCACGTACCTGTCTGCACGTCCACGTGCTTCCTGCCTTCTACGGGTTCCGGTGTCCGCGATCTGAACTGATTTTGAGCTCGTTTTTTGGCCAGAGCCCGTTTCTTAGCCTGCTGCTGTCTCTGTGCATCAACGGGATCAGGCTGCCCAGGCTGAGAGGGACAGAAAAGGCTTCTGACAGTCAGTGCATATTTCTCAAAGTATGTAACACCTGCCCGTTCCACAGCGGGATAGGAGTGAAGCAATGTTATAATGCTTCTTGATGATCAGTGACTTGACGGTTAAATATTTTTGGGAACTTTGTCAGGCACTATGCAGGTGTCTGACAAAGCATGAAAGTTACTCTGAGTACGCCCATGACTGGGATAAATGGGCGCAGACTCCTATCTAATTACGTGTGTTTTCCTCACTCAAACATTTTTACCATGAACCTCCTTGGTTCCCATGAAACTCATAGGACTAACCTGTTAGATGGACTTTGATGAAAACTGAGGAAATTGAAAAGCAAGACTTTTAAAATTTGAATCTCATTTGAACAGAATTCCCTTAAAAATTTATTCGCTCACAACAAAAACATCCTCAGAAATAAGCCTCCAAGTGTAAAAAATAAGCTGATGTAGGGGTTCTGTATATAACTGGTCACAGCAGTTCTGTGGCACTGGGAGGTTCTTAGGTGATATCTGTAGCTTATTTTGTAATCATTCTCTTTAGTTTGCTTATCTTATCTCAAAGTCAATTGAGAAGGAATATGTGAAAGTATTTCACATGGATAAACATTTAGAATTCTAAATGTGTGTAGAATCCTAAACACATTTTAAGGGGAATGACAATGTAGTATAACTTTTAAAATATTTTTATTGAGAAAGAAGTAGCAATGAGACAGTTTCAAAACAGGTTAGTAGGACAGTTACAATAATTAATACGTTGCTTATTGTTGTCTTTGTAGTAGTTATTCATAGTACAAGATGCAGACATGATCTCTTGTCTGCATCTTGTAAACACTATTAGTTCAAAGCTTTCTTCTTGTTGAACTAAGAGAAAGTAGCTGTATATCTGTGCTATTTTGTATATACATATATATATGCCCCTTTTTGTTTACTTTTGTCAGAGATGGGTATTCCATTGCCATTCATATATTGTAGATGCATGAATTCAGCGAAGTAGTCCAATAAAGTCCAGTAGTCTGTAATAGTAGTGGGTTATCTGCATGCCTGGCAATGTCAGAAATTGTTGACTTGAGCCTTTTACAGCTCAGCTGTAGTACAACACTTTAAAAAATAAGAATATTACCTAGGATTGTAGACCATTTAAATGCAACAGTTTCTGAAGTTGCATGCCATGCTTTATATTATCATTTTAAGTTAATATTATCTACCATAAACTTTTTTCCATGTTTGCATTGTACAGAGTAAATGAGAGTACTGTCTCTGAAGTTCAAATTCCAATTTCTCAATTTCTTAATTACTAGGATTAGGAAGGCTTCAAGTAACAACCAAAGTTATTTTAGATAGTTTTCTGCATGATAAGAATACTAAATCTACCTAAGGTTTAGGTTATAAGAAACAACTCAGAAGACAATATGATGAACTTAACACAATATTTGACATAGAGCAATTCTTTCCTTTTATAATTATCACATCCTTTCCTTATAAAATCGTAAAACCACATGATAAATAAAGAACTACCTGTAATTCAATTTGTCTAATACAATTATTGTTATCATTTTGGGATTCTTCAGTGCAAACTTTTTCTTTGTATATTTATTCTATATGTTTATTAATACTGTCTTACTTCCACTTTCTTCTTATAGAAGTATAAATTTCAGCTCTCAAGACAATAGGGTGTTAAGTGCAAGAAGATCATTTTAGAAATATACTACCTGAACTATTACATGGTCTAGTTAAAATACTTTTTAAAAAAGTTCTATTTTAGAATAACGCACAGGATCACCAAAACAGAGTTAGTCTGTGTACCTTTCATACACTTCCCCTAATGCTCCTCCTCTAATGTTATCTAATACAGCAGAACACCAAAGTGAGGAAATAAACAGGGGAAAATATTGTTTACAGAGCTCATTTGGTTTTCATAATCATGATCTTCATCGATTAGTGTCCGTGTCTCTATATGTTGTTTGTGTGATTTTACCCCGTATGTGGACTCATGAAACCACACCCCCAGTCATGGCATAGACCTGTACCGTCATGGAGGGATGCTCCCACAGGCGTTCTTTACTTTTATTTTTCAATTTTTTATTTATTTATTTATTTATTTATTTATTTTTGGCAGAACCAGGGATTGAACTCAGGCCCTTGTGCTTGCCAGGGAAGCGCTTATTCCACTGAGCCATCTACCCGGCCCCCGTTCTTTACTTTTATTTCCAAGTCTCCCCCCCACCCTTGCCCCTTGGCAGCCAGTATTATGTTCTCCATCTCCACAGTTATTAAAAAAATTATTTTCAGTTGGTACATAGTCATTGTACATGTTTGTGGAGTATAATGTGATATATTAATCTATGTAATTTGTAATGATCAGATCAGATCTTCTCTGTGTGTGTGTGTGTCTGCAACAGTCAAATCCCTCTACCAGCTATAACAAATAAATAGCTTTTGGGGGGGACATTATAGACCAGAAATCATAAAATGTAACCTTTTGAGATAGGCTTATTTACAATTTTTTTGTTTTGTTTTTGAGACAGGGTTTTTACTAGGTAAGTCAGGCTGGCCTTGAACTCACTATGTAGCCCAGGCTGGCCCTGAGTTTGTGGTGATCTTGCTGCCTTAGCCTTCTGAGTGCTGGGATTATAGGCATGTGACACCATGCCTACTGAGATTGGCTTTTTCAATAAACCCTTGGGAGTAGTCTGAGTTTTTTTTTTTTTTTTTTTTTTTTTCTTCTTCTTTAGATTTACTATGTAGCAATTGATGGTAAGGACATATCAGTTTGTTTATCACTTGTCCTTTGAAAGTACAACTAGTGTATTATGGTTTGGATCTAAACTGCTGCTCAGAAAACTCATGTGTTCAGAAGTGGGGTGTTTTGGAAAGTGACTGGATCCTAAGGACTCTAACTTTATCAGTGGATTAATTCACTGATGAGTCTGTAATTTGGCTGCACTATTGGGCGGTGACAGAAATTTAGGAGGTGGGTCCTAGCTGAAGGGAGTGAGTCATAGGGACATTCCTTTGTGGACTATATCTTGTCCCGTACTCTCTGGTGCTTTCTCTCTTTGCTTCCTGACTGTGTAGGAAGGCACGTAGGTCCTCGGCTACATACTCCTGCCACTATGATGTTCTGGCTTAGCCCTACAGCCACACAACAAGCCAAACGTTCTTTATCTGTTCCATTGGCCCATGTGACCATCCCCCACCAAAACCATCCTGTTTTGACAACTAGATTTATCTAGAAAGTGTTAACATTGGACAGAGTGATTCTTTCCTCTTTATTTTTCTTTTTAAAGATAGTTTTAAGGGTTGTGAGATAGCTCAGTAGAACAAGTGCTTGCCTGGCAAGTGCAAGGCCCTGAGTTCAATACCTGGTTCTGAAAAAAAAAAAAAAGAAAGAAAGATAGTTTTAACTCTTCCAGTGCTTTTGCTTTTTGCATATATTTTAGAATAAGCTTGTCTGGGGCTGATGGGGGTAACTCAGGCTGTGCATGAGGCCCTGAGTTTGTTTACCAGTAACTCATATGCACACATGCAAACAAAAAGAAAGAAAAAAAGGTTGTCAAGATCTAAATAAATCTTCTGGAATTCTGTTAGAAATTATACTTAACGTGTATACAAACTTGGGGAAATTAACATTTTCTAGAGAAAGTGCTGGAGATTGGACCCACAGCCTCCTGCTTGCTAGGCAAGTGCTCCATCCCTGAGCTGCATCTGTACTTTGGGAATTGTGATGTGGTGACTCTTTGACATGGTGACCCTTTCAACCTGAGCATGTGTATATCCATTTATCTCCACCTTCTTTGCCTTATTCATCAGACTTTTGTAATTTTTATCTTCCTGTTTTTATACATGTTTTGTGAGATTTACCTCAATTTTTTGGGAGCGATTACAAATGGTATCATATTTTAAATTTCCTTTTTCATTATGTTTCTCTCTAGTACACAGAAATGTTACTGGTTTTTGTATCTTGAGCTTGTATCTTGTGATGTTGTTGGAACTTTAGTTGTGAATCTGTTTTTGTAGAGTCCTTGGGATTTTCAATGTAAATAATCAGGTCACCTGGAGTTAGGTATAGTTTTACTTCTTTCTTTCTAAATTTGGTTCGAGCACTGACTGGAACTTCTAGCGCTGTGTTGAATAAGAGTGTGAAAGTGTCATCCTTGCCTTGGTCCCAGTCTTAGGCAAAAAGCAGTCAACTTCTCTCTGAGATATTAGCTGCAGATAAATATTCATCAGGTTGAGGGGTGTTTGCTCAATTCTAAACTTGCTATGTTTATCATGAATGAGTGTTGAATTTCATTCAACTGTTTTTTTTTTTTTTTTTTTTTTGGTGGTACTGGGGATTGAACTCATGACCTTGAACTTGCCAGGCAAGCACTTATTCTACTGAGCTATCTCCCCAGCCCAACTGAGCTATCTCCCCAGCCCTGGTTTTTGATCAAAGAATGTGATTATGAGATTTTTTTCTTTAACCAGTGGCTGATTACACTGACTTACAAATGTTGGAATACTACTACATTCCTGCAAAAAATTCCACTTGGTCCATGATATATAACTTTTTATTTATTGCTGTATTCTGTTTGCTAAAATTTTGGTGTGGATTTTTGCATGGAAGTTCAGGTCCAAGGTTTTGGGGTTTTTTGTATCTTGATTGTGTATCTTGTGATGTTGTTGGAACTCTAGTTCAAATACTGTCTTTGATTTGGGTATCAGAGTAATAATGCTAGCTTCAAAAATGAATTTAGAAGTGCTTCTCTTATTTTTTTGAAAGAGACTGTGTAGAACTGGTGCTAATTCTTCTTTAAGTACTTGGTAGGATGAATTCTCATGTGAAATGATCTTGGTCTGAAGGTTTTTAGAAATTAGAAATTTTTAAAATTAGAAATTCAGATCTTTAATAGTTATAAGACTATTTAGAACTTCCGTTTTACTGTTTATTGATTTTTTTTTTTTTTTGTCTTTTTTGAAACAGGGTCTCACTGTGTAGT